AATTCAAATCTTTTATTCATAAGGTCACCATGAGTAGTACTTAATGGCACCTAACAACAATAAGAACAAAAAGAAGAAACTAAGACTGAGAGAGATTTAATTTCTGGAAGATTTTTTTTCCACTAGAAATAGTGAAAGAAGTACTTTTTGCTGAAGTGACACCAGACACTAGTGTGAATCTCTAAAATAAGCAGAGCTTTACTAAAAAAGTTAAAATATAAATAAACATAAAAGACTATACAAATAATTGTGCGTCTATAGATATTTTTTACTTATTGTTTAAAGGTAAAATTATATATTGCAATAATGATAGCATTATGTAATTGGGTTTATAGCATATATAAATATACATGACAATTTTAGCTCAAAAGAAGGAACTCCCATGGCCTAGAGGTAAGGAGGTGCTCTGCCAACCTAAAAGCCCATGGTTTGAATCCCCTAGCTGCTCTGCAAACAAAAGACAGAAAATCTCCTACCATGTGATTTCCCAGCCTCTGAAAACCCTCTGGAGGGACAGTCTGACTCCGTTCTAACTCAACCACACGTAAGAACAACATAGCACTTTCTTACGAAAGAGGAAGAGAGCTGTGTAGTCATAACATTTCTGTGTTATGAGCATTGTGTTAGTATTAATCTCAAGTGTGTTGTAATGAATTTGGATGCATGCTGTTACTTGAACAGTAACTGCTAAAAAAATAATAAAAAACACTGAATAAACAAAATAATAAAAATGAAAATAATACAGTAACATATGTCTATTTAAAACAAAAGAAGGTAGGTAGTAAAGGAGGACTCAGGGTGGCAGAAAGTTATAAAACATAGAAAACAGACAGCAGAATAGATTTTTTGGGTAAAGGGAACACGATCTACTAATCAGAAGTGGAGTGGTTCAAATCCCCTCAGAAGTGCTTCAGAAGAAGAGCCTGGCGCTCTACCCCACAAGATCCCAGCCATACTGAAAACTGTAGAGTGCAGTTCTGTTCTGGAGCACCTGGGGCCGCCATGAGTTGGAATCAACACAACAGTAACTTTTAAAAAGGCCATTTCTTCATTAACTATAGTAAATGTGACTAGACCAAATGCTCCAATCAAGTGGCAGAGATTTACAGAGTGGGCCAAAAGAAGATCCAAGTATATGCTGATCCAAGTAAAGCACATGTTTAAGTCTGAGGACACCATAGACGGAAAGTAAAGTTATGGGGAAAGTATACCATACAAACGCTGACTACAGGAGATCTTGAGCCCCTATGCTCATATTAGAAAAATGCAGACTTTAACATCAGAAATATCACCAGAGAGAATCATTTAACAATAACGAAAGGGTCAGTTCAACAGGAATGATGTTGTTGTTAGGTGCTGGTGAGTCAAGCGTGACTCTAGCAACCCTATGAACAAAAGATCTGAACCCTGTTCTATCCTCACACTTCCTGACACACAAGAGCCCATTGCAGCAGTCTCTGCATCAATCCACCTGGTTGAGGGTCTTCCTTTCCTTTGCCAGCCCTCTACCCTTCCCAGCATCATATCCTTCTTCAAGGAATAGCACCTCCTAGCAACATGCCCGAAGTATGTGAGGTGAAATATGTGAACACATATTCCTGTATATGAACTTAACAACAGACCCCAAAATAGATGAAGCAAAGCTGACAGAATAGAAAGGAAGATATTCTAAAAATAGTAGTTAGGGACATCAACATCCCAGTCCAAATAATTATTAGAATGAATAGACGTAAAATCAGCAAAGATTAAAAAAAAATCACCAAACCAAACAAAGGACCTGAACAGCACTGTCAACCACTTAACCTAATTTGCATATATTTTATTCTATAGCAAAGAAATGTATTTGTGCTTTTTGAATAACTAAAATATTACAAATCACCAATCTAACATAGGACGTGTCTAGGATAAATATTTGAAACTTTTACTGCTCAACCATAAGAGAAACTATTTTAAACAGAAAAAAGTATTTTTTTTTAATTTAGTTTGTTTATTTTTCATTTCAATGAACATCTACAGAGATTTTGGAATTCCATTCATTCATTGTTGCACCCTCCTCCCCGTACACCTCCCTCCCCCCTTCCCCCCCAGAAAAAAATATTTAAAGAGACTTTTTACTAAAGAAGATACAGGAACAGCTAATAATAACAAAGCTCTGCCACTGAGTCACTTCTGATTCATAGTCCTCTCACAGGGCAGAGTTGACCTGCTCTGTGGGGTTTCCAAGTATGTGTGTCTTATAAAACTAGACAGCCACACCTTTCTCCCATGAGTGACCAGTAGGTTTAAACAAATGTCCTTTTGGTTAGCAACCAAATACTTAACGATAGTGCGATCAGAACCCCTAATCACTAATAGGGCTGTGGAAAAATCTCAACATCATTAGCTATTCACTCAAATTCACTTCCTTCAAATGGTATTGAAAGCCAGTGACCCTCCCCTGAGAAAATGAGAACTGAGTCACAAACAGAGACTTGTATACCAATGTTCATATGTTCATAGCAGCATTATTCAGCATTGCAGGAACATGGAAACAGCCCAGATGCCCAACCACAAATGTATGGATTGAGAAATTATGGTAACATTCACACAATGGAATACTATGCAATACACAGACAGGAGCAATGATTTTGTAAATCATCATTTAACTTGGGAGGGACTGGAGAGCATTATGGTGAATGAACTAAGTCAGTCCCACAAGTACAGATATTGTATAAAATCATTATTGTAGAATAAGAATCCAAGGGAGAGGGTGGAAGCAGAGCGATGAGGATGTGCAGGCGGAGGGGAGGTTTATCATGGAGTTGTACAATTTGATGGGTGAGGGGCTGAGGGAAATTGGAAGAATCTGTTCTGGAAAACAATGTATTCAAATTTTGTAAATAAACTAGTGTAATTTTTGAAAAAGAAAAAATTGTAATGAGAGGAAGGCGCTCATTTTTCTTTCTTGTAGCTGTTTAATAGATTTGAACAGTTGGAGACTGATAACCTTTGGGTTAGTAGTGTAGCCAAAACAATGCCAGCAAACCACAAAAAGTGACATAACACACAAACTGATGACCGTCAGGACTGGTGCAGGCTTATTCTGTATTATGACTCAAAGACCATGACTTTCTGATTGTTCTCACCCACCAGTGGCTCTGAGAGAGAACAATGGCCCTTCTCTTCCCATTGAGGTTTATTGCCTCAGAAACCCAGTGGAGGATTTGCTGAGTTGTAACAGACTAGATGGCAGGGCCAGTGAGAGAATGAATATACTGAAAATGTCAGAAAAGAACAAGTGTTGATGGGAATGTTGAGCTCTGAGCATAGTGCTCATGGGAATACAAAGTGGCACAGTTTGTCACTTTGTTGGAGTTAAACATAACCTCCACCTCATCAACTCGACTCCTAGCTATCTACTTAAGAGAAATAAAGGTACATGTCCACACAAACACTTGTTATATGGAGCATGTATAAACTCACATGTACACCCTCCAACATAAATTTATAGATCAATTTATAAATTTGTAGATATCTATAGGATGTCTAGGGAGTTGTGCTGCCAAACCAAAAGTGAGCAGTTCAAAGCCACCAGCTGCTCCACAAGAGAGCTAGGCAATTTCATCCTATACTATTTATAACCTCTGAAAATCCCTGGACGATCAATTATGAGTTGGTTCAGACTTGACAGCAGTGAGTTTGAGCTTTGAATTTTTCATGTAACCACTTACAAATTTTTGGTTGTTATTACTATTGTTGCAGAATTGTACTTATGACAGCATTTATAATTATTATTGTGTATCATTGAGTCACAACTGACTCATGGTTGATGATCCACGGGGTTTTCAGATGCAGTTTATTTATGCCTATCACAGCCATTATTTCTTTGGACTGAATTATATATGTTTTTAGCTTTTTTGAGAATCACTATACTTTGAACTCTGGTGTTGGAGAAGAGCTGAGTAGTCCACAGACTGCCAAAAGAACAAACAGTCGTGTCTTGGATATGGAGCAGCCGGAGTGCTCCTCGGAGGCAAAGATGATGAAGCTTTGTCTCCCATAATTTAGAGACTTTGCTAAGAGAGGCTATTCATTGGAGAGGGATATTATGCTTGGAAAAGTGGAGGGATGATGAAGGAGAGGAAGACCCTCAACTAGACAAATGACACAGTGACTGCAGAAATGGACGTGAGTGTGTCAGAGATTGTGAGGATGGCACAGGAGAGGACAGGGTTCAGATCTGTTGTTCATAGTGTTGTTATAAGTTGTACTTGATTCAACAACATCTAACAACAATAACCACAACATACTATTTTCCATAGTTGTTGTACAATTTTATTATCAAGTTTAGATTTCTTTAACATTTAAATATGATCTGCATGTTTTTGCAGTTCTGTCTGATCAGGGAGGTGAGGAGCTGGGCACCATTTACGGGTTTTTTTTTGTCTCAAGGTAGATCAAGCTGTGGTGTAGGAAGGCAATTATTAGCCCAATAAACTAGTCTGTTCTCTGAGATTCTGAGTCTCTTATTTCTCTTTTTTCCTCCTAATGTGTAGGGACAAATAATTACATTTTAGATGACCCTCAAAAGCTGTAAGACCCCAGACACTACTCAACTCAGTAGGACATAGAATGTGAACTTTGTTGGGCCAATTGACTGAGTTGTGTCATGCAACTAAGGACTTAGGCCTTGAGGTGACCGTTATATCTGAGAAGTAGTCTTAATCATGTTCATATGAATCTATCTGCATACACACATATCTATTATGTATATATAGATACCTTTTTCTGGGGGGGCTTCCTATTTTATTTCCTTTAAGACCACCTTCTTGCAATTTCCAGAGAGAAAATACAAAATAAGAAACAGACTTGGTTTCAAATACATAAACTGTGCTGGAGTATAAAGCATTACTGATAACATTGTTCCAGAAGAATGTCAGCCTGCTCCAGGGCACTTCAATATTCCTGAGGAATAAACATGATTTCTCTTTTTCTCCCACTGGGGTGATCTCAGGCCTAAGTCACTGCTCTTTGACGTATTTTACATGAAGAAGATATGGAGCCTGGAAATCATGTTGACAGTTGGAGTAGGCCATTGCCAATCCCTTGCCAGAACCAAAGGCTAATGGCCACATTCTTCCTTTAAAGAAGGTGAGTGAGAAAATAATTCCTCATCCCAAACCAATACCTATTTTCACGACCATATCCGCCAAGCACCGGTCGCACTTTCTGCAGAGCTCTGAATCCGACATGATCCCCTCCTGCAGCTCCAGCTCTTCTTATGGCCGGCCCCCATGCTCTGACCCATATAGATACTTTTGTATATAGGTGTATACTCACCTAGACCCCCTGCATATTTGAATAGTGATTTTGGAGAAGAGTATTGAATATCCCATGGCCTGTAAAAAGAACAAATAAGTCTGTCTTGGAGGAAGTACAACCAAGTGCTCCTTGGAGGCAAAAATGGTGAAATTTTGTCTCACATGCTTTGAACATGGTATCAGGAGGGGCTAATCCTTAGAAAAAGACATACTGGGAAAGGCCAGAGAAAGAGAGAAAGACCCTCAACCAGAGGGATTGACACAGTGACTCTAACAATGGGCTCCAGTCTATCAGAGAAAGAGAGGATAGTTCAGGAAAGGGTGAGGTGAAGCTCTGTTGCTGAGAGTCTGTCTGAGTTCTAGTAGACTTGAAACACCTAACAACCACACACCTACCTGTACACGTGTATTCCTGCATATGTGACTGGACATTCATTTTTTAGTTGTTTGCGGTTTAGTTCAATTATGTATGCTGTATTCTTCAGCATAAACCATCCCTTTCTTTTGTTTGTTTCTTTCTGGCATCCTTTAATTTGGTCAAGCTGTGTTTTTTATGCCCACATCTGTGCTACTTTTCTCATCATCAAAAATAACACGAATCTGCAACCTCAAGACAAGGGAACGTCTTGTGATGTTGAAAATACTCTGAAACCAGCTTGGTGATGAGCATACAGATTTCTAACTCCACTTGAAGTCTTTGACTTATACGCTTACAATGTGTGACTTTTATAGGATGGAAATGATAAGAACTATAAAATAAAGCTATTAAAAATAACCAGCAGGAGAGAGGTAATGTGGAATTACAGGTGACTCAAGACTGGTGATATGTTGATCATTATTGAAGCCCAGTGATGAGGAGGCTCATTTTATTTCTACTTTTGTGTATTTTTGAAAAATTATATAATACAAAGTTAAAAAAGAAAGATGTAGTATTTTATGAAGACAGTTTTAGAAGGAAATGATGTAATGGAAAAATATCCACTTAATAGTTAGACTAGAAAGGAATTGTACTTTGAGAAATTAATTGCTTGCTTCTCAATTGTGGATTCATATTGAGCATTTGAGTTATCTTTATTTAACCACCATCTGACGGGGGGTGGGGGACTTGTTTTTTTCTCTGCTCCCTAAATACAGAACTTTGCAGGTCTCTGCTGTACCTCTGGTGGAGACACAAACATGGCTGTTCACTGATGACCTCAGACCCCTCTGCAGGTTGTCTGGCCACAAGTCATAGGGGACCAGTGTCTCTCTCTTCCCCAGTGGAAGACACAACACAAGATCTCAGCTTCCCACAGGGCTTCCTGATGCTATTAGCAACAACATGCAGTCCTTTGGAAAACTGGAACTTAGGTCACACTGTTTTCACCTGTTTTAGAGTGGAGATATCCTATAAAATTGTAGAGCAAAGGATGGGGGAGTTTCTTTCTGGTGTGTGACACAAGGGCCATTCTGCTGGGCCCTGGTCTTGCTACCTCCTTGAGATGATGAAAGGTTGGGATATTCCAGGTCTCCTCTTGTTTCTTTTATGCTCATAAATGTTCCCATGATTTCTACCTGTACCAAATGACTTATGACATGTTCCTTCACCTACTTTCCAGAGGGGATGCCTAATGAGGAAGGCCACCAGCTTGTTCTGGTTAGTTGTGGTTCTTAGTTGCAGAGTTGCCTCTGGTTCCTGGCAACTTCATGCACAAGGGAGCGAAATGCTATCTAGTTCAGTGTTTTCATATGATTGATCGAGCAGGGAACAGTTGTAGTGCTGGGAACATATTGCCAGACTCTCTACTCCATCTTAGTCTGGAAGCTCTGCCGAAATTTGTCCAACATCCTAGCAACGTGCATCCCCGGCAGACTGGCATTGGCTGTGTACAAGGTACATTGTTTAGGAGTTAAACGTAGACCTCTGGAAAAGACGGATTGGCTTCTACCAATACATCATCAATGCAGTCCCTTTGAAACAGCTGACGAGTCAGGTTGGTCCTCTTGGCTGTGAGAGAAATAGCTCCTAAGGGCCATGACAGACGACCTGGCTGAGCCGGCATTGTCAGTGACCATGTGGTCTTAACTTTTAGGCCTGTGGACTGCAGATGCGATGGTGGAGCTCTACTCTGAAACAGGAGTTACCAAAACCCAAGGCTGTTTCTTTGCAAAAATAAAAATCCTTTTTACTTTCTTATCAGAGTAGTTTAATGATCCACCCCTCATTGCATTTCAATAAATTACTTGGAAGGAGCTCTTTAATACATAAAACTTTAAAGCTTTGGAAGGAACTCTTTGAGAGATTTAAAAAAATATATAAAAAAGAACTCAAGAAAATATTCCATGTCTCTATTCTTACTATGGGGATTGGAAAAAAAGTCCATATGTGTTTCCATTTCTTAGAAAGGTGATCCAATTGAATGTGGAAACTATTGAACAATATAATTAATATCACATGAAAGCAAAATACTGCTGAAGATAATTGTTGTTATTTGCTGTTGAGTTACTAGTTGCTAGCTACCCTATGTACAACAGCTCTAAACTTATTGTCTCTAACACACATACCCCCATAACCGCAGTGACTGAATCAATCCATCTCATCAAGGGTCTTCCTCTCCTTAGTGGTCCCTCCACCCTCCCAAGCATGACGTTTGTTTGTTTATTTATTTATTTTATTGGGAAAAACATTATTGGGGGTACAAGGAGGTGAGGGTTGGGGGCAGAAGGGTGCAGGATGGGCCAGGATGCAGTTGCAGAGCTGCACAGTTTGGTTGGTGGTGGGGAGGAGGTGAAGGAAATGATGAGGGTCCAGTGGGGACCAGATGCTACAGAGGAATGACATGCATTTTCCAATAGTAATTAAGCCCACTGTCTTATTGATTTGGGAATGCCGACTCTCTGGCTTCTTCATGTTGAACAGGGGCATAGATGTAAAGGGGGGCGCTTTATCACCTTACTGGTGGTCTTGGGTTAAAGCTGCTTGCCTTCTTGCTCTGTTAGAAGATATTTTCCTGTCATTTGCTCCCCTCTGGACTGCAAAGTGTTTTCCCAGGTGGGTCCAGTGGGGATGGCTGGTTGAACCCAGAGGCTCCATCCTCCTTTGCTTCCTTAGCTGTCAGTTGTATTTCCTTTTTGTCACTGGCACTGGGTTCAGGGTCAATTCTGGAGTAAAACTCAGAGTTAAGGTTACCTATAGGAAAGGGAGCAAACCTACAGAGAACAAACTTGTGAGTTACAAATAGAAGGGCTTTGAGGGTGTTGCTTTCAGGTTTACTGGGGGGGAGGGTGGCAGAAGGTGGCCTAGGTAACATTGGATACCCTAGACATTCTTTTTTTTTCTTTTTTTCTCCTTCCCCACCCAGGGGTCAGATGGCACAATCTGGGGACTGAGGAGCTCACCCTGAGGGCCGCGACAGCTCACCCCGAGCCGGGGGCTGAGGGCAGCCTTCCCCGGGCAGGGCAACACCCCCCAGGAGCTGGCTGGTATACTCCCCCTCCAATTGCCCCTACCCCAGTCTGGTCTCCTCGCCTGACTGAGGACTCTGTGGTCAGGGATAGTGTTTCCAATTCCAGCACTGCCACTTTTACTCCCCCTCCATAGGTGGTCATACTATATTTTGAAGTAGGTATCACTGCCCTCCCCCTTTATATATGACAAAGGGAACCTGAGAATTGTGAACAGACTTCCCCCAGGTCTAACCATCTTTTTGCAGAAGCATTCAACACAACAAAATATGTGGTGTGTTTAGGATGTGGGTCCTCTTGTGCCTGCTGCCACTGTTAAGGTCATCGGACTCACAGTGACTTTCAGCAATTCATTGCATAGGTAATTGTCTTCTTTGGCCTGTCCAATGCATAGGTAATTGTCTTCTTTGGCCCATTTCTCCTTGGGAATCCTTCAATTCCTGTTGTTGAGCCTCGATCTTCACCGAGGGCCAGTCATCAACTGTTTAAGTGTTCAATTATCAATAAGACGAAGTCTGTGGAAGGCCATAATGGCCCTGCTTTAAGTGGTTCACTGCTCCCGCAGCTCACCATGCTGTCTCTGCCTCCACCGCCATCTTGGATCTCCCCAAGCATGACGTTTCTCTCCAAGGACTGATCCCTCCTTGCAACATTTTCAAAGTATGTCAGAAGAAGCTTCAGAATCCTTGCCTCCAAGGAGCAGCCTGGCTTCACCCTCTCCAGGACAAATTTGTTTGTTCTCCTAGAAGTCCATGGTATATTCAAGTCTCTTCTCCAGCACCACAGCTCAAAAGCATCAATTCTCCTTCTATCATCCCTAGTCATGGCCAGCTTTTTGATGCATGGCAAGTAATTGCAAAGACCATGGCCTGTATCAAGTGTACTTTAGTCTCCAGAATGACATCATTGCTCTTCAATTCTTTGGAGAGGTCTCTGACAGCAGACTTTCCCAATGTAATTAATCTTTTCATTTCCTGGCTGTTAGTACCAAGAGTGTTGATTGTAGAGCCAAGCAAACTGAAGTTATTTAATAATCTCAATCATTTCTCCATCTACTATGATGCTGCCAATTGGCCCAGTTGTGAGAATCTTTGTCTTCTTGATATTTAGCATCAATCCATATTGAAGGCTGTAGTCCTTGACCCTCTGCAGCAAGCACTTCAGGTCCTCCTCAGTTTCAACAAGCAGGGTTGTGTCATTTGCATGATGCAGATTGTTGATGAGTCTACCTCCAATCCTCATGCCACATTTCTCCTCATAGATCCCAGCCTCCTGAATAATCTGGTCCGCATGTAGATTGAGAAGATATGGAGATAGGACACATATGGAGATATGGAGATGGTGCACACCCTTCCCAATTTTGAACCATGCAATATTTCCTTGCTTTGTTCTGATGACTGCCTCCTGGTCCGGGTATAGGTTTTGCATAAGCTTGATCAAGTCTTCTGGGATTCCCATTCTTCTCAGAGTCAGCCACAGTTTGTTGT